CCGCAGCAGCATTTAGAGCTTTTAAAGGGTAAATTGATGGCAGTACTTGACACACACAAGAGCGCCATTTATTCAGTTTCTACCTTTCGAGTGCCACAGTCTTGATGCATACATGATGTTCTCTGGGTCAAATAGCACCTCTATATAAATTTTGAAAGTAAGCTGTCCAGGTGAACGTAGATGTTTTTCACATTTAACATGATTAACAGTAAATCCTTAAGTCGGGGTCGCAGCAAAGCTCATCTGTTTTTTGACCTTCTGTACATGTTTGTTTCTCTGTGCTGTGAGTTTAGTGGTGCTATCAAATATCATTTATCTCTCCCGGGGCAGTGCTTAAAAACTGTACTGTTCAGTTAGCTTAACCTTTTTTTCTGACAAAGAGAGGCCACTGAGAAGCATAATGGCTGAATATATGAGTAAAATCTGATCCCAATGTCAAAGTATAGCGTAACAGAGCACTCACTTGCCAAGCAGGTAAGCTAAGATGAAACCAAATTGGTCTTGAAATACTTCTTGGCCATGTTTTTCCTGAGATGAGTCATATATTTCCACTGTGAGTAAGATTGTGGTTTAATTCAGCTTCAGTAGAGTGCACGACTTTCGTTATAAGTAGCGAACACAGCGGGAGGTCAGGCTGTACAGATGCCAAAGCAGTTGTTGCAGAACATAATTTTTAATAATTTTAAAACTGATTCACCAACAAAATTGAAACATTTCAAATCTTTTATACGTCTCTTGTAAGATTTGTTGTAAAAAAAAAAAAAAAGTTCTGTATAAAATGCAGAGCAGCAGAGGAACACCAAACTGAACAGTTCTGATCTCTGTGTTCAGGCTCAGTGACCGGATGATCACAGTCTAACCCTTTTGAAACAGATCAGATCACACATAGAGCAGATTTCATAACAACAACTTAAATTGCAAATCATGTTCTGTTTAGACCAACCATCTGTGCTGTAAGGAATCTGACACATTTTCTGGTAGAGCTCATTTATGGTGCATTAAATCAACATTTACTATCAGTAAACCTTTGTGGTGTGTGGTAGAATGTGGATGTCCAATTACTCCAAAGGATATCCTTTGTCCTCACACTGTCACGATGTGCACTTGAATCCCTGTGCATGTTTAGCAGCTTGACCTCCACATCAGGCTTGTGTTTAATGGTGTAGAGCATCATGAGATATTAAACAAGAGTGCACATCCATCAGCACTGAATCCCTCTCAGGAAGTGCGTCAGCAGAGAGGGCTGGAGGAAGGAAAAACTGAAGAGTGTGGCAGCAACCTTGTTTTACAATGAATCACTGATTGAAGGGTTATTTTCAATTACCCCAAATTTCCATCTGAATATTTAAACACTGGCACTGCAGTACTGTTTTTCCCGGATCCGGGTCCCAAGGGAAAACATATCAACCTGTAACTAGCTGCAATTGAATCTACAACTATAATCACGCATCATTATGCAGCGTACTGGTACAAGTTAACAACACAGTGCTGATGTGATTTAAACACTATGTTTTGGTCACCGGAATCTTGACACGAACAAAGTGGTGACATGAACTTTTTTATACTAATGAATAATATGATATGAGAGCTGTTTGATAAGGGGGCTGCAAGGTGGCACAGTTGGTTAGCACTGTTGCCTCGCTGCAAGAAGGTTGCCGGTTCGCATCCCGGTGGGGGCACCGGAATCTTCTGCGTGGCGTTTGCATGTTCTCCCAGTGCAGTGTGGGTTCTCTCCGGGTTCTCCAGCTTCCTCCCACACAGTCCAGAAACATGCTGAGGTTAATTGGTGATTCTAAATTGTCCGTAGGTGTGAATGTGAGTGTGCTTGGTTGTCTGTCTCTAAGTGTAGCCCTGTGATAGACTGGTGACCTGTCCAGGGTGTCCTTTGCCTTCACCCTAAGTCAGCTGGGATAGACTCCAGCCCCCCATGACCCTAGTGAGGATTAAGCGGTGTATAGATAATGGATGGATGGATGTTTAATAAGGGGAAACAAGATTTGGGCTGTGTCCGAAATCATCCCACATACCCTACATAGTGCACTGTATAGGGCCTTTGCCATTTTGTAGTGCTGTCCGAATGTTAAGTTACACTCTGTATAGTGCGCTCAAAATATCCCACAATGCACTGTGGAAAGTAGTGTACAGCCGATGGTCACTAACCAAGCAATATGGACCATCATGAATTGTGTGAAAGGAAATGCAAATGAGACAAACGAGAGTGTGAAAACTTGTCATAAAAATGTAAGTTCCTGTTTATGTTTTATTACATTTTATTTTACCCATTTCTTAGCTGTGCAATAAACTGTGAATGTGATGTGTTTGTACTACGCTGCTACAGCTAGTGAGTAACGAAATGAATGGCTTGAGTAGTGTCCAAAATGTTAGTTTACCAAGGTGCTCCCTACGTAGTTCACTTCATAGTGGTCCCTTTATAGTGAGTAGAGATTTCAGACACAACCTTAATGTACTCATGCACTGAGTAAATATCATCTTGTGCTACTTTAAAAAAAATCTACCCCACCAGATTTGAAACTTCTTTATTGCACCTTTTGCTCCAATAGTAACCAACTACCTTTCATTTCGAGATTCTATGTTAAAAGTAAGCTTGAAAATTCACGTCATATGCCTTTAAACTCCTTTAGACTGTTCATACTTCTGGTTCTTGTATTTCTGGTGTCTATTGGTTGTTAGCAGATGCACCAAAGAGACATCTCCTCCTCTAAAACCTTTCAGATGGGAGCATTTAAACAGGGAACAAAGAGGTCAAATTATCTAATTATCTAGATTCCCCCCCCCCTTTCATCACTAAAAAGTCAGAGGAAAATGATAGAAACCATGTGAAGAGCTTTGTTTTTTTCTTATCAGACCCCTTAATCATCTCACAGCCCCTCACAAGATTTAACTTGAGGTTCTTGGGGGGGGCCTGAGTCAGAGGTTTGGAACCACTGAACTCGATTCCTGATGTGTATCTACGGTAGGTGGCGGAGATTCAAATGAGAACATTTATCTTGACACTGTATGTTTTGCCCGTAATATAACTGTACTGTAACTTAAACATGGTTTTTAAGGATATTTACTTGTCACGAGGTGGTTGTAGATTGCTGTAGTAGTACTTTTACATACGTAAATGGTCCGAGATCCCATCTTTCCACCAATAAGCCCAATGTATTAAACTTCAGAGGTCAGTGGTATAAGTTGTGTGCTGCCTCCCTCTAGTGGTTGAGAGGAGAAACACCAAGAGACTCACAAAATCTGAGGAACAACCACTCCAGTCTCTGTTTACTGTTTATTGTTGTGCACTGCACTTGATCCTTATGTACATCCCGTAACGGTAAACAGAACCGAAAAAAAGAAACACATGAACAGATTTTGTACACAATTTAGTAATACTTGAACAGCAGACAGGCAAACACATAACATACAGTACTCCGTATCCAAACCTGATCACTTCCATACATACCACAACTTCAAACAACACACATCCATTAACTACAATATAGAGGTTAGCTTTTTTTAACATAGCCGCAAGGTTGCAGATTCAGTCAGCGAGGGAGCTTATGAGGGGTTACTTCTTCACACGTAGGTCCTCGGTGTAAATAGAGCATAGACACATGATACTACACACTTCTCGTATCTCGTAAGTCACCGGGAGGAGGGGGGGAAAATAAAAAGCAGTAGTCCCAAGATTCAGTGTTTTCAGCCTGAGACCCCAGTGTCTTGTTCAGGGACCCACTTCAGTCAAAACTTCCTCCTGTTTTGTGATGCATTCGGGGTCCAGAAGCACTTTTACAGCAGTCACACACTCTTTTCTCACGCTGGTCAGAGTTCAGTCCTTAATGCAGATGAACAAACTGGAAACCCTGCGGGGCGAATGCAGTCCAGTGAAGAGAAAAAAAGAGCAGTATGATGCCAAATAGAAAGTAAAAGAATCATCCTTCATTTTACCGTTCAAATGAGAGAGAGAGAGCGAGCATGGATGCTATGCAAAAACAGTTTGTGCACATGCGAAGGCAAATAATCTGCTCAGTTTGTGTGTATTAAATGATGTTTAAGCAGAATAAAACAGGTTTATCGGGGCCGCTACAAGATCTTATTAGCATCCTGTGAAAACCTCAAACCCCTAAAAACAAATTGATGATTATTTTTATAGATATACTTTTGGTTTTTGCATATGTTTGTCATTTTCCTCAGGACTTTATCCTGGGATAAGGTTATTAAATACTTTTTACACAAGGAAACAGTTCACGAGTAAGTTTCCCTTAAAAGAGATCATCATACTTAGGAAGAATCACACCACATGAATGAAACTACACGAAGAGAGGTTTAAGTTCACATCTGTCGGGTTAGATTCAAACCGTTACGAACAGCACCTGCAGCACGTACAGCTCTTGGAAAAACTCTGTGCTGCATCTTACTGCTGATATGAAGTGGTGCCTGGATTACATGTCCAAAAGCTGCATGCTGATTATAAATAAAAAAAAAATGTCAGTGCAGTGACAGGAATGTCTCACAGAAGTAAACAATATAAATCAAGTAATCAAAAGGTTGCGAATCAATGTGTGGATGAAACCGTTGTGATATCAGCACATGTGCATGGGATCAGTAGAATCAGCAAAGATATGAAAGAGTCAGATGTGTGAAATCAACCCAAATTTCTTATTGCATTGTCGGGACTTTATGCGCATTAGTGTCATTTAGAAAATATATTACAGGCTATGAGGGTTAAACATAATGGCCCCAAAATCCTGAACCTTTTCTCGCCAACATTTCGTTAAACCCAAAACGCAGTAGATCCGAAACTAAAAAAAAAAAACAAGCTAATAAATAAATAACTTCCCTTCAAAAGCTGCACCGAATAAAGTTGTGCTTTCACCGAGCTCCCCTGCAGAAATACTTTGTTACCGTACGAGCGAGTATGCATGAGGCCTCGAGGTGCTCCATGTAAGGAACTGTACATGTGCTAATCCTAAAATATACAATCCTCAGTTCAAACGCGGAAACACACAAGGCTTGATTATATCAGACACACAGAGAATTAGGGACCATCCTATAGAACAACACCGTTTTGTTTCATCCGTCACATGAATATTGAGTCGGGAAATTAAATTTTGTTGTTTTTTTAAACTATTATTGCAAAATCTAATTCAGTTCTCCATTTTCGGTTATCTTCAACAGACTACATTCTAATGGATACGAGAGCCAACTGGACGAAACAACTGCACGTTCTAAATAAGTTCATTTGTACCCTAAACAGCCTATTTTGGATGGAATACAGGCTGGGCTCGTCAGGATACAGTAACTTGATGCAGCTGTTGTAATTCTCATCACAAGGAACATTCAACTGTATTGAAAAACTTCTGATATGACAGAACGGATCGTGGATTCAATTCTCACACGGTGCAAAGCAAAATCTCCTCCGAAAATGGCTTAAATGCTGTTCGACGCTTGCTGTGCCTTCCAGACTACTCGTGCTCAGTTTACTCCCTGATGTGTTGTTGGGTTTTTTTTTCTCTTCTTTTGTTCCGTCTGCTCAGAACCAAACTGTTTCCCAGGACATCCTGACTTTGACTGGTTTGGAGCTAAGAACTCTCGACTAGGAAGGACAGAGTTGCACCACATACATACGATAGGTACATTAGAGCTACAGGGAGTCGTTTGTTCTGCGACGCTGTTAAGTCTGGACACGGTTCTGGAGTGTTTCACCATCACTGATGTCGCCTGTGTTTGTGGCGGGGGGGGGGGAGAGAAGCTCGAGTCGAAGCACAGGTATAAAGGCAGATGTTGTGGGATGCGGCTGCAAGTACGCTGAACCAGAGGTGGTGGGATTAGATGACGGGATCAGCGGGGACGTCCTCTCCTCGCTCAACCTCCTCTTGTTTAATAGAGAGGTTTTTGTCCTTGGCTTTCAAATTCTGACCAGGCGTCATTGAGTTCCATGAAAATCATCTTGGCATATTGTTCATATGGTTGTCCCGTCGCCTGTGAAGGGAAAGAGAGAGAAAGAAAGAGAAATCACTTTCAGACACCTCTGGCATATGCAAATTAGCAGGGCAGTGTTGTGCAGCCAGGAATTGTAACAAGTCAGATCATGTCCTTGAATCAAACAGCAAATGCAACAACAGCATATCTCCTCTTGGGCAATTCAGTGAAACATGTTGCCACATAATGTCAAGCGGGTGACACCTGCACCTGGAGAGAAATAAATACTCACAAAGGGTGTGGTCACAACCTTCGACAGAACAACTCATACAAACATTCCCACAATTGGATCCTCCAAGGAAATCACAGGAAATTAAAACTGCAAAACACCCAAAATGCTCACAACAAAAAAAAAATTCTGTGTCTCCAGACGTTGTTCTTGACTCATGTAATTGGCTTATTTATATCATTTTTAATTTATTGTGTCTCCTCTTTCCTTTAACCTTTTTTTTTTGTACTTGCACTTTGTGTCAAAAATGAATTTCACTTATTTTGCTAGGACTGAAAATTGAGTGCTTTAAATTTGTCGCTCTGTATTCCCTCGTCTCAGTCCTACTCTCAAAATGTCATAATGAGGACACTTAACTGTTAATATAGAACACGCACATGGCTACAGATGTCTCCAAATTCCATATTGCTCATTCCTCAATAGCTCCCTCGTGTCTTGAGAATGAGTGCGAGACACCTGTAGGACAGTCAGACTGCATTCATACATTTAAATGGGATCCTAACAAACCAATATTGAACTCTAGATTCTGCCCCTCAGCAGTGCAAAGGCTGCCTTCTTCTCTCCTAGATGGCTTTTAGTGAGCGTGAGGGAGCTCTGCATATCCCTGTCTTCCAGTGGATTACAAGGCAGAAACACTCTCTTCAGTTTCAGATAGCTCAGTTATTTAAAATACACTCGATTCCCTTCTTCTTTTTTATGCAGCTTATCTGTCTAATATAATAGAAGTTACAGCTAATGAAACAGGAAAAAAGCTCTCAGTCTTATCTCCGGTGAACACCCCTCTGCTAAATGACTGACTTCACAAAAACAGAGCAGCTTTGGACTTTCTTTTCTCTGAGTCAGTCACTGGCTCTGAATGTTGCACCTCAGTGCCTGAACATAATGCAGTTGATTATATAATTAATCCCCTAATCGTACTGTTAATTCACAGAGTAATAGTTTTGTATTTGATTGGTGGAGGCCTACTTTTGGACCGCTGAGTTGTCACATTGTTGAAGTGCTAATTATTTTCACTGTATTCTTGTCTGTCGTTATGTCGAGTGTGAAACGTTTCTATTCCAACATTAGTTAAAGAGCCCACATCATGCATACATGTTCACATTTCTGATTTTATTGTTGCAGTCTACTATAGTATGTTTGCCTCAATCTTCCAAAACATTTTTTTTTCTCATACTGTACTTTGCTGCAGAAGCTCTTCTCAGCCTCCGTCTGAATGCTCCACTTTAGCTCCTGTCTCTTTAACTCTTTATAGGGAAGTCACTGAAGTACATGGACATTTAAAATTTCAACCCTGGTGTGTCATTGGTGGATATAAGAGAACTTATTTTGACTTTTTAAAAAAAAGTTTCAGGTTTAGGCAGCAAATTAAAGTCGAAGCAGTTACCATATGTGATTCCTTGCCCACCTAAATAAAATAAAATAATAATAAGTGGATAAATTATTGTAAAAAAAATACACGTATAAAGTTTGTTTTAAAATCACCAGTCAGACTTGGGGAACCTTTTATATCACTCGCGACTGGTCAGAGGCCTGACCTTCGTTGATTGGCTGAAGGAAGTCACGTGACTCTGCCCCCCACATCATTTTTAATGCTACTAAGTTACCATATATGGTTACTTGCCCGATAAAGGGTCAAGGCCTCTCTACTGAAAAGGCCAATCTGCTCTGATTGGTCAGCTGGCTCGGAGAAAGTGATACTACTGGCTACGTAGCGTTAACTCAGATCTCTGAAAGTAGCAGCTAGGCAGGAATGATGCAAATGTGTTACCTGGTGACATAGAAAAGTAACAGAAGAAAAGTCATAAGGAGCAGTGTCTTTGTTGTTGGACTTAGAGTTGTGTAGTTTTGCAGACCTTTTGCATGCACAATAAAGCTGTAACGTACTAAAGGAAAGAAAAAAAGCCCCAAATGCATAATATGGGCTCTTTAAAAAGAAGAAGAAGAAGACGCTTTGTTGTCATTGTACAAAAAATACAACAAAATTTCGTTTGGCATCATCTTTGTAGCAGCTAATATGGTCACAGTTCTAAGGGAGAAAAAAAACAAAACGTAAAAGGTGATATAAATAATAAGATAGCAATAAAATAAATATTATATAATATGTAAATAAATATAAAATGATAATATGTAAATAAATATAATTTATTGAACCAAAACAAGAGATTTGCTGTACTTTATGTACTTTTTTTATTTGTTGCTAATGTTTATGTTTTTGTCGGACTAGGAAAGACCTTTAAATTGTATTTTCTGCAACTTTGGATCCCTGTAGTTGAGCGATGTCTCATTGTTTTGTATTTTTTGTACTGTGTCCATGCTTTTCTCACACCTCAATGGCTCAGTTTGAAAACTTCTTGACTAAACACGATGACACTGTCCATCACATCTGATCAAATTACACTCTCATATTTGTCTCTACAAACAAACTGTCTGTTAATGCTTGTTTGCTGTGCTCCAGTATTCTTTTTTAACTCTGTCTCACAGGAAAATCTGAACATTTCACTCTGTCCACCGGCTAGACCTCTGTCTGTCATGTGGGGCTGGAAAGGTAGCACATGGTGGGTTTATAAAGGGTTATTTTATCTAAAAACAGCTGCTTGCTGTGGCTCTAAAAGCTGAATAGAGTGAGAGTGGACCACAAAAAAAAAAGTTGCACTAAACTAAAAGGGGTGAAACATTCTGTAGAGCAAGCAGGTGACGATGATGACGACGATGATGATGATGTTTGTCAGTATGACCAACTACTGTAATCAACATGTAGCCATTTCAGCCATCATTATAAAATAAAAAATACTATTTTTGGTAATCAGATTTTGATTTTCGTTGCTATTTTACATTGCAGTAGTGCCTAAATCAATATCATGTGCTGCAAAGATGGAACAAAAAGAGGTGGAAGATGTAGATTGTGTTTGTTTTAATAAACCAAGTTCAGTTTTCAAGTTTGAAGCTTATGTTTGCTGAGTCAACTGACTTTAGTAGCTTTTCAGTCTGAACGTCCTGTTATGACGACCGTTGTATTGGACTATTGATTCTGTGATCTGTGCCAGATGAGTTACCACGAATTTGTTCTGTACCTGCACTGAGATCAGCTGTAGAGCCAGAGAAGCTGTGCATTCTCTCATACAGACAAAGATGAAGATCCTTGGTGTTTCAACACACAGAAGCCCCAAACTTTTGGCAGATTTTATAAAGGCATGTTATTTTATTTTATTTTAAATCACCATTTATCATAGAGAGACACTGTAAAAACCAGAGGAATGATAGATTTTTACCTTTTTAATGGTGTGGTAAAGATAACCAGATTAGCTTTAGATCGCCTAAAATCACTTTGTTCTACATGTCTCATTGAAAAAACTGCTAAAAAATAAACCGTTTGTAGCGACCAGATTCATTCATAACTAACCAGCTGACTAACATCTGCAACCATGGAGCCTTTACTGACTCAGCTGTGATCAATGTGACAAAAATTCAGAGACTTTTCAGCTGAACTGGGCTGAACTGCAGGCTGTGTTCACACAGAACAGAGAGGAGACAGGGTATGGAAAGAAATTACAAATATAATCAGTAAAATATCTATTGTATGTACAGTCACCATTTTTTCCACTTTTGGTAACACCTGTAAAATGTTCAACTTGTTGATTCCATGTTCTTTCAATTACAAAATAAAACAACAACAAAAACCCCACATCCATCCATCCATCCATTGTCTATACACCGCTTAATCCTCACTAGGGTCGTGGGGGGGGGCTGGAGTCTATCCCAGCCGACTTAGGATGAAGGCAGGGGACACCCTGGACAGGTCACCAGTCTATCACAGGGCTACACTTAGAGACAGAAAAACCAAGCACACTCACATTCACACCTACGGACAATTTAGAATCACCAATTAACCTCAACATGTTTTTGGACTGTGGGAGTGAAGCTGGAGAACCCTGTGAGAACCCACACTGCACGGGGAGAACATGGAGACTCCATGCAGAAAGATCCCGGGTGTCCTCACTGGGATGCAAACTGGTGACCTTCTTGCTGCAAAGCAACGGTGCTAACCACCGAGCCACCTTGCAGCCCTAAATAAACAAATAATCCAAGAATTTCAACTTTCATTTTTTTGGTATTTTCTGTTCTTATAATTCATGGTATTGTAACTCAGTATTGCTGCGTGGAAGTACTTTTGAATTCTCTCTCCTTCGTGGTCATTGTTTCCACAGAGAAAAATCAACTTACAGTGAGTAAAAATGCGACAGGAACAAATAAAGAAATGCACAAAAAAGTGCTTAGAGTTCAGATCTACGTTCATCAAGTCATTATCTGTCTCACCTTGTCTGGGTGAACGACCAGGACTGCTTTGCGGTAGACCTTCTTGACCTGTTCTGGAGTAACCAGGTCAGCCATGCCCACAGGCTTCCAGCGCGTCTCTCCCTCCCACAGCACCGTGTGCATGGTGGACAGCAGGGCACGGATGTTACGCTCCTTCCCCTCGATCCAGTCCAGAATCTGGGACACAGAGGGGGAGGCAGAGATGGGGAGCCATTAGCCAGTGAGGACCAGATTTGAAACAATTATTAACATAAATGCTTTCAGTCGTTTTGGCTCTGGTGAAATGCCTTTTAAAGCAGCAATTAGATGAACCGAAGTTTGGTCATGGGAGACCTACATTGGTCGCTTCATTAATTCTGGAATACACAGGCAGGCTTTAACAGCCAAAGGTTTTTGAGTACACGATCCTACTTTTGGGAATCACTGAACTGCTTCTGTTGAGCCACGCTGGACAAACACAGATGACAACCACACGCAGACATGCTACCAAACCCTGATTGTACCCAGACGTGGGGATGCAAAAGTCACGAGGCAACAACACACACATTATTTTATTCAGAAAATCAGTCCCTGCCTTTATTTTCTCAGGGTCCATCTCTTTGGCCAGCTCCTCCTTCCTCATCTCTGCTATAGTCCTGGGTCCTTTCTTCTCTTTGGTCCCTGCAAAGCCCTGACCAGACAGCAGGTCGTCAAAGTTGGCATCTGAGGCTTTAGGCTTGGGACCTGGCAGAGAGGCACACAAATGCAAAGACGGAAAACATATTTTGTTTTTCAGTCGCTCAGTCACTTATCATTATACAGTCAGATGCAATGTACTGAGAACAAGTGACAGATCGGTTCCCACTGATGAATGAACGTGCCAGCAGCATTAGAATGTTAATGTATTAAAAATTGAGTCATCCAAGTGTTACATCTCTGCTCCGTCTCTCTAAATGCTTGGAAAAGAAAGAATCCCACTACAATAACAAACCAAAACCTCCACCTAACTCCAGCAGAACCTTCTGTCACATTTTCTTTCCATCTTTTAAATAATAGAAATTTGGGATTTTGTTGGAGAAAATGTGCATTTAAGTCTTTTAAATGAATCCTGTTGCTTTAGTGTTGCCTACAATTGCATCAAATACATCACAACTGAACAAATTCACAAACCAACCACAACATTTGCAGTGCAATAATCAACCTCGGTCTTTTTCCACATCTTGTGCTCACCCATTCCAGCCTGCGGTTTGACCCCCGCGCTGGGCGAGCCTCCCCCCATCGCAGAGAAGCTGACGTTGTAGTTGGGTCGGTTTTGGGGCGATGTGTGAGGCATGGGGGCGTGGCTGGGGCTGGGCTTTGGCTGCGGAGGGGGACCCTGCCCTTGGGGTTGCCACCCTCCGGCCCCGCCAGCAGCTCCGGGCTGCCACGAGGGGAAGCCGGCTCCCGCGTGCTGCTGCCACCCTCCTCCCGCGTGCTGCGGAGACGGTGGAGGCCGCGATGGGGAGCCCATCGGAGGGAAGGAGGGAGTTGTTCCAGTAGGTGTGGTCGGTTTGCTGGAGAAGCCAGAACCTCCTGATGAAAACAACAGCAATTATGGTGTAAGAGGTGATGGAAAAAATGGCAAAGACTTAGGAAAACTGAGTCAGTGTCTGACCTCCAAGGCTTCCCCCGAGGTTGCCAATGTCAGCGAACGGATCCAGGGTGTTTGGCTTGGTTTGGTGTGTTGGAGTGCTGTGGACTGAGCCTGTGGGGCTGGTAGTGGCCGACCGACTGCCCATACCGAAGCCTCCTCCTAAACGAACCAACACATGGTAGTAAAGGTCACACTGAAGTACTAGATGAACGTTTTTGCGTATTCACTGTATATGAGTCTGTGTTGGCACCTGTGCTTGTGGTAGCAGGTCTGTTCCAGTCCCATCCTCCCATGGCGTTCTGCTGCTGAATGTTGACGGTTGGAGTGGTGGGCGGGACGGGGGAACTCCGACCTGTCCCAAGCGCATAAAGGTTGGTCACAGATGGAGCACACAGGGAATGTGAGCCGAGTCACATGAACCCACACAGCCAGAGACAAAGCAGTAAGAGCGGGGTCGAGCTTTTGGAGGATCAAATTGTCCGTTCTTGAAGCTAAAGTTAGAGCTAATATTGTCACCTAAAAGGAGTGCACGGTCATCCAAAACCTCCTCTGAAGCCATGCAGTTTCTTTTTACAAGCAACACTGTCAGTTTGGTTAGGTATATGTCAACAATATAAATTGAGTGGAAGTAGAAGAATTGCTTTGCTCTGTTTGAAGTTAAATATTGGCTGCAAACGGTGAAAATGTTAGATATGGAATGACTTGTGCTGGGGTTGAAATATCAAGCTAGTCTTTATGCAGGAGTGACCAGATGGGCTGCAAATATTTGACATACATCATGCAGACTTGCACATTGCAAAACATACATTACAGCAGCAACATATAAAAAAGAGCTAATGTTTAAGTAAACAACTTGTGAAGCAAAAAAAATATAAAAAATGTGGTTCAGGTGCCGGTTTCAACAAGAGCACAGATGCAACGAGACAAACGCGGTGTATGGCTACGTGTTAAGGCAAATGCTATAAGACATGCCTTACCCTGATTTGGGTCAGACTGTTGAAATGCGTTTATTACATCCAAAAAGGTGCTGTGAGACAAAGTGCAGCAGAGCGGCAGAAGCATGCCTTACCAAGGCTTGTGGGCTGCAGGGTGGGTGACGGTGAGCGAGCAGCATGCAGGAAAGGATCTGACTGCCCCACGTTACCTGGTCCGAGGAAAGAACCCATCATGTCCTGAGGCTTAGGCATGGGCCCCGCACCGAAGGGATCGAATGCTGAGCAGGGAGAGAAAAAAAAAAGATCCACAAGTGTTATTGTCTTGTACTGCAGGATTACATGACGCAATTTTTTGTTATTTAATTTACCACTTTGACATTACAAAATATGTACTGTCATTGGATTTTTTTTTTTACAATAAATCTGCACAATGTTTAACATTTTTACATAAGCCATTTTTCCATGTGCCAAAAAGAAAACTACTGCACTGAGATAATGCTAAAAGATTGTAATGTCAAGCATTTTTATTTCACAAGTTGCCTTTATACAGTAATTTGCAGGGATTGTGTCACAATATTTTACTGCAAAATCTCCAAATCACTATGAATCCTTTCAACAGGTAATATTAGTAGGAAAATAATGCACAAACAACTATACCAATAACATCCGGAGTTTATACGTTTGTACATTTTCTAGATTGTGACTGTTGTGAAGAACAGGCTCAGTGTTGTAGTTGCAGCTAAATGTGCATCGACTAAAACTGTCGTACTTCTCTTGGAACAATACCAACACATTCTGTGAATGATGGGAATTTTGTACTTTAAAAATTCTGTGCAATATCGATTTTTCTACATATACTAGAATATATGCATTATATATATGTATTATATATCACTAGTTTTCTACTTGCATACAATCTGCATACAATATTAATACTGTCAGTATTTCTATTCATCAAAAAAAAACAACTCGTAATTATGTTTTTTTTTTTTAGAACTATTACTTTTGTATGCGTTAGTCTGTTTTTATTTTTGAATTTTTCCCCACTGTGGGATTGATGAAGGCTTATCTTATCCTATCTTACTTAATACTGACGGAAATTTACTTACGCAATCTCTAATTGTACCTTGTATATCTTGAATTAATTGAAGAATAAATAATAATAAATAATAAACTGAAGAAATCAGTTTACGCTGAAGAGAGTCAGGTTTTTTTTGTAAACTCTTGTCAAAAAAGTAAAATTAAATTGACCATGGTTCAATGTTGAAAAGCAATAAAAGGGGAAAACTTCCAATAGGCGTAAATACTCTTCATATGCACCGTATATGATCAAGTTCAGGTATGAGCGCTTTCACTTTCACCTGCAGAACAACAGTTTGAGTAAAATTGTGAACTCCTTTGTTTTGCATGTGATATTTACAGTGATGTTAGAATGATCTGTTAGTCTCATCAGTTACTTTATATCAATCGATTT